CAAGATCCGAGACTTTCGGATTCTTCGAGCTATTATTTTCCCCCTCCGACTTCTCCTGGAGGCTTAAGTGGAGTTTTGCCGCCACTAAATAGTTCGGTCTCAACTCGGAGGCGTTGAATTCCAGATGACAACTGATGCATCGTCCCGTCACTGCTTTGGCATGAGACAAGATACAGGGTCGTAGGCAAAACGTATGCCCGCAAGGCAGTTTATAGGGATCATTGATCCTAAAGAGCAAAAAAGGCATTTAAGAAATACTCGAAACTAATGAATTACAAATGGGAATTTCATTTATTTATTTATTTTTAATTTGTTCAAGTTTGAACAGCCTTTTAGTCCCAAATGAAACCGATCAATATAAAAGCACAAACGTTTCAATTTAGCAGGACGAATCACTCTCAAAACACCTGCTGAACTTGGTAAAATCTAAGAAAGTCAGCACTTACCGTCGTCTCAAGCTTAGAAAAATACATATTATCTATTGTGATATGCCTGACCAAAATATTTATTTATTTCAAATGGCAGGCGTCTTGATGGTTATCATTAGCCATTTAGCTGACTTCAGGCTTCACAGAGGAGGAGGAGGAACATCAAAGTGACAAAAAGTCNTAGGGATCATTGATCCTAAAGAGCAAAAAAGGCATTTAAGAAATACTCGAAACTAATGAATTACAAGTGGGAATTTTATAAATTCCCTCGATCATTTAATAATGACGAAATAAATTATTTTCCCATATGTTAATCTTAGCCAAAGAAAAACACTTAAAATTAAAGCCCAAACGTTTGAATTTGCCAGGACTAATGGCTCTCAGAAAAACCCCGTCAACTTAAGCTCAATTCCCGTTAGATAGCTTGAAAAACCGACTTCCCAATGAAATGGATAACCTCTATACCGACACAAACTGGCTGGTTATTCTACTGGTAGAAAATAAGATAACCTTTGGTCATGGGATTTGTTTAAATTCTTACTCAGCCCCAAAGAATGTGAAAACAGAGGACTTTTAGTCAAATGATCGCTGTTATTTCAGCCAAATAAACTCACACGGATCTGAAATAGTAAATGAATAAGTGGCTACTTGGTTAATCAATAATAAGATAGCCAGGTGTGTGCGTGTGAATGCAATAGTCCACAATCCATGGCACGAGAGATGTGAATATTTGATCAGATTTCCAACGAGGTCGAAACTTAGAACACACTCGTAGTGAGACTAAACTAACTTGATGAATCAGTTTCTTATTAACTCGTCTGTTACCTCCAGTGAGATGGCGGAATGGGCATACATGTACGCACTGGAGGGGAGAGGGGGGGGGAGGGCAGACCAATGGTAGGTAAACAAAGATGACGAGGATTATGACAAAGAAATACCCTCCAATAGAGGATAAAGCCTAATTGATAAACTAGGGTCTGAACTATCCCATCAATGAGGCGCCAAGCTCTCGAATCTAATGGTTAACATGGTGAACAAAATAAAGGTGGGAATTGGATGGGATTAGAGATTCAAGATCAAACCAGATAACTAGACATCAAACTCAATTACGCGAACAATCGTCAACAGAAAAGATCTCGCCATAGGGATTCCATGAAAAGTCTCCTCAGGGTTTCCTTTGAGCTAACAGATACCAAAAAGAAGTGAAAAGAGAGCAGTTCGCAAGGTATCTGGTTAGGGAAATCAATAAAAAAGGCACGTGGTTTAACTCGGTTGTGGTAGTTAACCCAGACAACGATGTATGTGGCTGCCTCTAAAGTTGATAATCAGTATCTCAAGGGAATTCTCTCTAAAACAGTGAAAGCACGATTCGCATTTGTATGCAAATATTTGCATCAAAAAGAAAATACTATTATAAAATTGTAAATATCGGAGATTGAAAAGTGGAAATAAAAACAGAAATTTTCTCACAATTTTGAGCAAGCACCACAAATTAATTCCCCCGAAATCGACTGCATGGCAAGATCGAGATTTACGAAGTGACTCCACTACAGTCCAGTGCGCTTATTGGACCCGCTATCAGTTTGATTGGTTAAAATTTAGCCAAAGGTCGAAACATAGAGAGCAAGCTTTTTGTAAATCAGCCAATAGCTGTGCAGAAAAGCAGCCGATTTCGTTGATTGCGTGGCAGTGTGCTAGCGTATTTATAAACTACTTAGTAGGCTTTTTGTTACCGTTTAGGTTCGTTATTTAGCACTAGTCTTGACGTGTCTTGTCTGGAGCTTACTTAAGAGGTGACGTCAGTGAAAAAATTGATTATTTAATCTCGATAAAATAACTTGATCGATTTCAATTGATTTTAACGTGTTTTATTTCCTTTTTTTGTACAAGCTATATTTCGGGAAAAAAATATGACGATGGGTGTTCCTCAAGATCTCATCTGTTCAAATTGCAATAGAATGTAAGTTTTTGTTTCTATTTTCACTGGACTTTATTTTAATATTTTTTCCACTTTTCTACCGCTTTGCTTGTGATATAATGAAATTAATTTTGAAGTTCCAAAGTGTGCGATTAATTAAAATCATGTTTAAAGTGGATAAATTTTCATTTTTTACTCTTATTTTCAAGTGTGTGTAAGAGACGCACAGCTTCTTAAATTAATGATACATTAAATTTTAAAATTTAAATAGATTCAATTACTGCAAGAGCATATCAATTAGTTATAAGAGTTTTTTCGACGCTCATTTACCACCTTTTCAACTAACTAATCGATTAGCTATTTTTGCCACAATTAGGTTGTAGATTGGTGCTTTTGCAGGCAAATCATATGCTTTGACGTTAATTTTATTAATATTATGGCACGGAGTTTAGCAGTGCCTCAACACTCATGAGCCTTAGCTTATGCTCAGTAATCTCTATGGCAAGATCTCCTAGCTCGTAAAATCTAGGGGTCAGCTGAACTACTTCAAAGCTGTAGGGGTATGAAGTAGAATTCCTTTACCTGGGCTGTATCACTGACACTTACCTTTTTCG